ATAATAGTGTCACTAAACAAGAAAAATACTTTTTATATAAATAAATAAATGAAATACTTTTTAAAAATAGTATTTAGTTACTAAATAATAAATATTTAATTTTTAAATGATATAGTTGAACAGGTTTAAATATTTTCCGATAAGTTTTTAAATTGTTAAACATGGTTTTTTCAGATAACCATGATCATTTACCTGTCATATGATTTTAACAAGACAGAATGATCCAAACAAACTTTATTCCCGCATTTTCTATGCAAAAATATTTATGTATGCTTTATTTAGATCCCAAATATAAAATACATGTTCAATAGCATACTGGTGAAATTTTCGATCGACAAACTCAAAACCCTCCCCCTCATAAATGTTTATAATGTATAAACTCTATTATGATTATTACAGTTTGATCTCTCAATTTTATAGAAAATATAGTAAAATCAATCAATACCGTACATGTTACATTTGTCTTCCTATACTGTTTTTAAATACGAGAAGAAAAGTTTACAAATACATTGTCGTCGTCTTTTTCATTTATACACTCCATTTCAAAGACATACTGCTTCCGGAAGTATTCGAAATAATAACAAAATTTTATTTCTACATTTGGAAACTCGAAATAATCATCCTATTTAAATAAGAGGCAAAAAGATTTAACCCGAAAAACTCACTTAAACATTTCAATTGAGAGCTAATTGGTATGCAGATGGGCATAAATTAAAAGTAGAGAAGCTAGCTTTTAATAGCTTTCGTATATTTTAGAGTTAACTTCTGTATGGAGTTTTGATCCGGAAAAGTTTCTTGGCATCAATAGTCCGTGACAGCTAGTCAATGGGTCATTTGCTAAAGCTCGGATGTTTCAGTTAGGGGTTTTTAGATAAGAAGTGAAACATATCATTGTAGCAATTCATCCGTGGATAAATGTTAAAAGTTTTACCGTTTAAAACTAGGAAGTTTTGTTATTCAAGAGCTTTTCATTCACTTTGCTTAAGTAGAATGGTAATTTATTTACGATGTCATCGAAAAACAGTTCCGATGTAAAATGTCTGATTATGTGCACAAAAACATTAGGCTTATGTAACATATAGAAGAAACAAACAATGTATATAAAATAATTTTACTTAAGGTTTAATCTCAGTGAAAAGGCCTCATACACAAATACATTTTTTTCATCTCTTAAAATATAGATAAATTTATTCTTTTAAGTAATATATTGTGCCATATGTTGATGAAAGAAGTTATTTTCAAATAATAGAAAAGTAATATTGCACTATGATTTAAAAAAGAAAGAAAATTATCAATATTCGTATTGAAATAGGGTTATTTCGTTTGAGAGATCTCTTTTCAAGTGATTGACAAGAATAACTAATTTTTCGATGAAAGGCTAAATAAAAGAAGCCGAATGTACAAAATACAATTTACATCAAAAATTGATATATGCAATATTTAAACATGAAAGTTCGTGCAAATTTGTTTGGCATCTGACTTATGTGGAAAAACTATGCATTACACGATGAAATGAAAATTGGTGATGAATAATGATTATATAAAAACCAGCACACTTGAGGGGAAAATGTAAAGAATAGATGCATCTCTTCCTAGTAGTCTCTCAAAAAATCTCGTGAAACATGGGAAACTCATGGCATAAACACCATGTTGGAACCAGAAGGATGAAGAAAACAGACAGTCATAAAAGTTATTAGAACGCATATTTTATGTGTGTTGGTTTCTAATATGGTCAGCTAGATTGAATTGACTGTCATTTGCAAGCTAAATGCGACTAATTCATGAAAAATCAGCTCACTACACTTATAAAGGATGTCACAAATGAATGGGATTAATGGAATGTTCTGTTACGGACTCAACGTGAATAGATTATTCTTACGAATATGTCTGAATCGCAATTAGCCGTGACATAAGACATCCTGTTGCCATGTAATTCATTACTTTCTATCTATCTATCTTCGCCTACAGAAGTATGTATCAATCATCTTAAGACATTATTCTTCGTGAATAACTGTTTCTAACTTTTTGTATAGTTGAATCAGTGTTTTTGAGAGTTTTCAACACGCTCGCGCGCGCACACACACACACACACACACACACACACACACACACGGAGAGAGAGAGAGAGAATTTATAAAAGAAAATTTACAAAAGCTGTGGAATGAGTAATAATTATATTTCGTAAAATGCCGAATATTATTTAAAAGTAAGTAATACCCCTTGGACTAAATAAAAATCTTGAACAAACTGGAGATATCCTTCAAATCTAAAGTGATTGAATGTCATAAATATAACCTTTAAAATTATCTGCTTTGATTTTTTTCTCATTCATTTTCCTTAGTCTCTTTAAAAATTAACCTGAACGATTCCTTTCTTAAAAACTTAGTTTTTAAAAACAAATTTATGTTAAACTTTGATATTTTTAACACTCTTGTTATTAAAATTACATATTAATTAACAATAAATGGGTAAAAAAACACTAAATGGAGACAAAATAAGAGCAAATAAAAGCAAATAATTACCGTTAATTTATAGGACCTAACTTAAATATTAAAGTTGTTTTTAGTTTCTTAGACTATCAAGTTAAAATCACAAATGCGTCAATGATTAAAATTTAAAGAAGATGGAGTGAAAAAAAAATCAAAAACTGAAAATATTGCGAAAATGAACTCGTTAAAAGAAGAAGACGCTAAGACATAGGTAAACATAAGACATCATCACCTTCTGAGGCAATTACACAAAGGTATTTTTTCAGACAGTCTCAAAATATGCATAAATTTCCTTAGCGGTGCAATTTTAGTGAAAGGGAATTCTTAAGCCCCTACATGTAAATCTCAAATTCTGCGAAAGATAAAATTTATACAGAAAAGGAGGTACTGAAAACTATAATATTCTATGGCTTAAGAAAGAGCCTTTTTAGTGTCAATTAGGACTCATTTTTATATGATAGTATCCATTGAATAACTTGTTCTTAAATTGACGTTGATTTCAAGAAGCAAGGTAAGGAAAATATATGAATGCTAAATGAAATGAAATTTTTATGTGAACAATATTCTAAAGCAAGCCATGCACAGCTATAATGTAGCCATAAACATCTTATTTGGAATTGTTAATAAGAAACTTTGTCTTTTCCCCCCTAGAAAGCTTAGATTACTGTTTTCAAGTTAAGAGATGCTGGTTAAGATACTTGTATTACTAAATGGGAGAGGGAGGGGGTAGTAAAAAAACAAAGAGTTTGCAATTTGGTTCTTTAAATAAGTAAGAGACAACTAGTTTGGTGTTAAGCATTCTAGCTATTCAATTACGAATCTCAATGTAATGTCATCTATAAAAGACGACTAATTTCTGTCAACATTTGTATTTGAAAAGTTCATAAGTAAAAAGAAAATTTACCGTACCTTTATCAATACCAGCCTATCGATGACTTTTATTTGTTTTGAAGAAAACATTGTCCTTTTAATGGAATTCAAAATCCATTTGACTAACTGAGTGCATTATAATATGTGTTACAATTCTTCGTTCCGGGGCTCAGAAATTCTCGCAAACATTCTCTATGACTGCAATATATATTCAAGCTAGATTCATAATACCCTTTCCCAAAGTGATGAAAAATAGATATGAAATTTGCATGATTGATTTTCCACTTCTTGTTTCTTGTTCAAAAGTTAGAGTTTTTTTTCAATACTCTTTTACTAAACTGCGAAATCTCTACAATGTTAGTTTTTTTTTTTTTTAGCTTATTTCATGATGATTTCATGCATTACTAGTACCCTACTACACAAGCGTTGAATAAATTGTTTTTCGACTCTTTCATCTGGTTCATGAAATATTCATATTTTGAGAGAATATGTTTGACTCTGGAAAATAAACGTATAATTTTTTTGGCTCTGACTATCAAAGAAAAAGCTAAAGTGAAATCAAGAAAAAATCAATAACACAAAACATGACATCCATATATATAAAGTCCACTCTGGTATTAGGTTAATGAAAAAAGAAAAAGAGCCTGTGACAGGTAAGAGAATATATATTGCAATAATTTGTTCAATAAATGTCGCAGGTAAAAACTCTTTCCTTAAGTTAACAAGTTTCTTTGTATGCTTTGTGGGGTTTGTAGAAAGTCTAGACGATATTCTTGCTTTTCCTGTAGCTTGCATTCAGTTATAATCTCACCAACCGCAAAATATAAGTGTCACATGACATCAATGATGTGTTCCTCAAGAGCAGAAATGGACAAATTTTTTTTCTAATGTTGACAATGTATTAAGTAATCTTTAGGTTGAAAATCATACGGAGTAACATAATACGGAAATCAAGGCAGAATTCCTATGAAGTATTTATCGTCTGATTTAACCTTTCAGGTCAGTGTCAATTTAAATAACAGTAAATTTCTGAGAATATAAGTGAAACAGTACAAGTGTAACTATAAAGAAACGCTTGATGTATTTTCCAGTTGGAGAATTATGATATGATATTATGAGTTCAAAAATAAGATCATATGTAACATTTCTATGCTAGAAAAAACAATTTAGAGGAAGGGCTCAGTATTTTTATCTTTATTTTTATGTATAAATAAACCAATTATGAAGATATCAATGATACATAGAAAAAGAAGAAAATATCCAAAAACAAATTGTTATTTTTATTTCAGCTATGAATTTCATTCAACATTTACTAGCTTATATTTTTTAAAAATTAACTTCATTCTAGATGAATACACATTAGCTTTTCATTGCTCGACTTTATTCAGATCAATTGAGTAGAAAGCTCAATTATTTCGTATGATTGTTTTCTGTGAAATCCAACCTTGTTTCTTTACCATTTAGACTATTGAGATACTTAAGCATTTCAGTGTGACAAGTAATCTTAATTCTATTTTTGTGATATCAACACCATTTTCAATAAACGCAAAATTCACATTTTGATATTTTCTAAGTCACATCATATATTCAGGTTTTCTACTCAGTAAAATCTATTTACAACTGATTACGAAGTGAAATGTGGTTTCGGTAGCCTAGTGGTCTTGGTCGCGGACTCACGGCCAGTGTAGTTTTCGGTAAGTCGTAGGTTTGATCCCTGATAACACTTGAGACTCGCCATGTATCGGGCATGATGCAATTTAAATCTAATCGAGCTCCCAAGTCCTCCCGTTTATGTAATGTAGAAGTTTGGAGTGGTAGAGGAAAAGCGAGGTGTCATCCTCACCACATAACCGAGGTTCAAATTCAGGTGGTACGTTAGCCGATAACCCTTGTGTTGTTTCTCAGTGTGACGTTAATAAACCATCATAATTACGAAGTGAAACTAAGCAAATGTTGTGTTTAAATACTTTGAGAAATAGTTTTTTTTAAAAAAAAATTAAATTTATCTGTCGATCAATCATCTCAGGAATAGGTAGGTAACTTCTCCTAAAACAAAATATATTTACGTCAATTTATTTCTTTTAAAATAGTTATTGAACCTAAACACTTCCTAGCAACAAAGTTATTTCACTTTTGAGATTCACCAGATAAAATATCTTGCTTCACAGAATGAAACATTTTTTTTTACTTAGCTAGATGATGGATAGATTTGTAAAGTGTTACGTCGAAATCTTTTCCTGTTTTGAACTTTAACGCGATCTCCAACCAGTGGTTTCGAATTACTAATCCATTAATTACTGTATTTATTCAACACTATAATTAACTCAAAAGTAGTAGGTAATTGTTACTCTTTGTTTCTCATTATTTTGAAAAGAAAGAATTTTTGAAGAAAATTTAAATGATATGGTTGAGGTCTTAAATCTTTAGGAAATTTTCCTTGATTTTTTCAATAGTCAGGAAAAAAAAAGAAATCGATATAAACCGCTCTTCTTTTCAGTCTTTTGGAGACATTTTAATCACATTTAAATTCATGTGACAGTCTAGGTAGTGGAGGAGCTCTTAAAATCTCATAGAATTATCAATGCATTAAAAGATTCGAGATGGCGCAAAGATGTTATCCTTTAGAATTTATTTTTATTATCGTAAGGACCATTTTTCTGATTTTAAAATGACATATTCCTTAGTGATTGCGTTGATATCGCCATTTTTGCCAATTTTCTTAAAATTTAATATGAAGAAAAGATCTATATTATTTTTCTTTTATTTACCAGAAATCTCTCAATCATTTCACTCTTTGTTTGGTTTTTATTTTTATAAATTCATACGCATGTGTGTATATTCAGTGAAAGGTATTTTTTCACTACTGTGTTGGGGAAACACCACATTACTATATCTATGCCCCATTACTTTATCTATAACCTAATAAAAGTGAGAATAAATTTATATACTATATGGAAGATCCCACATACGCGAAATTTCCTCTTAGATATATTTAAGAAATAGTTTATTTCTTGGAAAGATTTACACACACACGCACACACACACACGGAGAGAGAGAGAGAGAGACGTGTGTGTTTAAAGATTTATAACTATCCTTACACAGCAAAAAAAACTGTTAACCTGTGACGTTAGACTATTCGCAATTTTCTCTTCATTAACCACGGGGACCTTATAGCAATCTGAATTGCGTAACGTTACAATTTCTTCTCAACCAAAATGAAACGTAATTAGTTAAATTAGATGATGATGAAGAGGGAAGAGAATTAGTGATAATGATATAACAATAAAAATGGAATTGAAGGAAGTACAGGGAAATAGAGGATAATGATTTGCTGATAGAGCTTTGTAATTCGGATTGAAGCACGTTAATTAGGTTAATGGCTTAAAGCGAATTTCAGTTAAAATATTAAAATAAAAATTAGCTGTTTTCCTGAAGGAATTCAATCAGAATGAATGATTTGGTAACCTAAGATTTCATATTTTAATCATAATCTAGGATTGTTGAGTTAATTGGGATTTGAGAGAGAGCGACCTTATCTATATTTCATTGACAAATAAAGCATTTTATCTTGCTTATACGTATCTTCCATCAGAGTTTCGTAATTAATAACAGTTTAATTAATAGGAACAACGGCCGTTGAATTAAATAATAAAGGGCAGTTATAACAAACCTAAAAAATTAACATTTCTTTATAATAAAGTTAGAACAATGCTATTAACATAAACATACTTAAGTAAAGGCAGACAATATCAAAATAAATATTTATATATAATTTTATCTGTAGGCGTCACTTAGATAATTTTTTTGCTGATAAAAACGCACAAATTTATGTTGCTGAAAATTAAATTTTTCTGCAGTCATTCCTCTTCATTGTATTTGGAAGACTTTTATTACCTAGAAAGTCAACATGTGAACACAAAGCACAGCAGGTTTCTCACTCTTAGATAATCCAACTGGATGAATTTAGTTGCTGGTATCTTGAGAGAAAAACAATTCAAATAATAAAAACGTCTATTGATGACGGAATTCTATTATATGTTACAATTCTGTCACATGCATCGGCAATTAAGCAAATCACAATAGGGCAAGAGTTGAAATTTTAACTAGAATTTTGACTTTGTTATTTGTTTTTGTGGATCGTATTTAATGTATTAGGAAAACGAGATTAAAAATTAAAATTATGAATTTTTAAATATATTTCTGTTGGTATGCAGAGGTGACTGTACGCTTTTGTGTTACTGATATAGTAATAAAAGAGAAAAACATACCAAAAATAATTTAATTTTATTAAATTTTTTTGTCAAAATAGTTTTAACTTCAATAAACGTAGTCTTGATATTATTTAATTAAAAGGATCTAGAAGTAACGAATAAGACGAAAAATGCAAATATTCATCCACTAAATGAAAACACAACGTACCTTTCTCCTTCTCGTATCTGTTCATATTTAAGAAATAATAATTTCAAATTAAATAATTATCATCAATATACACTCATGTCCATAAATTAAGAATAAATTAGAAACACATGGAAATTGAATTCTAAAGTAAAATTTTTACCTGTAGACTTGTAGAATTATCGCACGAATCTTCAAGAATAATATGCAAATTAAAGGAAGGCATCAGATGACGTCAATAGTACGTCACAAAGACGAGAGTGTAAGAAAGGTATATGTAAAAAATGGTAGCAAAGAAGTAAAAATGTTCTCAAGCGTTCTGTAAGTGCCACAACCGAATAGTTATGACTCGGATGATGCATGTGGATGCTCTTTTACGTTGTAGAATTATCGGCCGCCTGTAATGTAGGCGTACTCAAATGGAAGTTTTTAGAAGAACTTGGAATCGCCTAAAGTCATCTCCAGGCTTTGGCAATGATTCTAAAATGATGGAAATGTTAGTAGACGTTATAGTACAGGTCGCCTCTCAAGTTATAAAGCCGAATGAGACCCATATTTGGCAATAACTACCAAAAGAAGCAGACAGAGCACAGAATCAGACCGTTCTCATCAGCTATCTTTAGCCACAGGTACATCAGTTTCAAGGCAATTCGCGTGCAGACATTTGGGACATTTTGTTCTATATGCTAGTAAGTCTGCCAGATGTGTTCCGCTCACAGCAACTCTTTATAGCTAGCGGTTAGCCTGGAGTAGAGAACTTGCAATATAGACATCGTCACAGTGGGCTTGTGTGATGTACTCTGACGAGTCCAGGTTTAGCTTTTAATCTGATTCATGTCGGACTTTCATATGGAGAATGCCAGGTACCCGTTACCACCAAGCCAACATCATTGAACGAGATCGCTACGTTGGTTCCAGATTACTCGTGTTTGAAGTGGAATTATGCTGGGCTCCATAACAGATCTACATGTTCAAATCGGAACCATGACAGGCCAAATTTGGGACATCATTCTGGAACAACATGTACGTTTGTTTAGGGGTGTCATGGGCCCAGAATTTGTGTTTGTGGATGACAACGCCTGTTCTCACCGTGGAAACATTGTAAACGAATGCCTTCAATTTGAGGATATTCCCCGTATGGAATGGACAGCATTCTCACCTGACTTGAATCCGGACATGCTTGGCGACAAGTTGTAGCCCATCAACCCCCACCTACATGTGCATCGGAACTTCGGGGAATATTGTTTGCTGAGTGGAGTGATCTCCCCCAAGATCAGCACGGTAATTTGAAATTCAGCATGCCTAGGCATTGTACGGACTATATTTCATCGCCTGGGAGACATACAAGGTATTAACCATCATAACAAAAATGCAATGGTAAGTTTTGTTAAGTTTGTAAAAGAAATAGTTTTTGTAATTGCTCCAAGGAGCAAAAGTTGTAGTTTTTTGAATGGTATCATACATACACCTTTTTTTTATTATTTATCTTTTGTATAATAAATAGGCTTTGTGTACAAGTCACTTTTGTTTTGTTTCCTAATCTTTATTTGTCGGAGCTGGCATTATCTTTAATTTATAGACATGAGTATATTAATGGAACTTTCGACAGATTGGCAGCTAATTCATATTAGTATTTTGTTGACCATTAAGAATTGCTACACTAGGAAGGAAAGTAAATTGTAAAATCTTATTTATTGTACATCTGTAATACAATGAGAGGAAGGTATAATTAAATTTAAATGTGCTTTGAGACACACAGAGTGCAGAATAAACAAATCAGAGTTGCCACCTTTCACAGATCTCTAATCAAGCTAAGCATCGATCCAAACTAGGTTTATATGAAAGATACCTGAATATCATTCCATTTAGGCTTCACCTTAATGACAAAATTCATCAATCATACTGAAAAGCAAGCAAAAGCATTTCAGCCTCCCGGTAATAGATGTTCTTAATAAGTGATAGATCTGGAGAACATACTCTCCAGGACAACATTGGGACACCTTCTATGTCAAGGAAATTCAGACAGTATAGGTAACATGTGGTCGGGTATTATCTGGTTGAAAAGCGTTGTAATGGCATCGAAGATAAGACACAACCATGGACCTTAATACTTCAAAAATGTTGTGGTGACTATGAAAAGTACTGGCTAAGGTGGCTGAGATGAGTACGTAATGATAATCCATATTCTCACTCCAAGTGCTGGGCTCGTATGATGATGTCCAATGCAAGCTGGATTAATTGATTGTTTATTAATGTCACACATAGAAACAAAACGGGGTATTGAAGAAGGACATCATAATTTTGAGCAACGGTCACGTGATGAGGACGATACCTAT